TTGACCTTATAACATTAGAAAGAGCAGATCTGACCTTGAAATTGATTGGAAAGGAGAGCCCACATAAGACCCTGAGCTTTAGGCACTAGAGCATATTGTGTTTGGATTTCACTCCAACTTCACAAATCCAGAGTCTGAGGTTCATTTTGAACCAAACCACATTGCTTCTGGGTAAGTAATCTGTCTGAACATGTTCATGAGAAAGTCAGAATTTCAGCTAGAAAGTTCAACTTCAATGCAAAGCTCCTGGAGGCAGATCAACTTCGACACTGTTGTCAAAGTTCTCCACTGCTCTGGGAAGCTCAGGCTAAAGCTGCCAACAGATGGACCCTCCTCAGCTCCTCCCCTTCTGTTGTCCCACCATGACAATATCTAACTTCTAGCATTGGTCACCTGTGCTAGTCCAGCAGCCTCCTCCCACCCCTGCCACTTGTATCTATTCCAGAGCGGGCCTGTCTTCCTGGACGCTGCCCCACAAACATTCAGCTTAACCCTGTAACCTTTCAAACACTGCCTGTTGCTTTCTCGTAGAGTATTAACCCTTTTCTTATTGTGCTGTGCCTTCTTTTCCCGCCCTCCAGCATCACTCCCCACACCCGTTACTCAATCTACTACAAATCCACACTGATACTTCTCAGGACTCTTCCCTGTGGTTCTCCCTTCATTGTACTTGGCAATACTGCTTGGCCTTCTTGACAGAGTTTTGTATTCTTTCCACACCTGGAAAACACCAGCTCATGCTTTAGCACACCTTTTCTAGGAAGTCTCCGTGAATATTTTCCTTTCGGATTTTACTTTCTTCCCCATGTTATTTTTTGGTCCCAGTGGGTCTTTGCAAGCCCACAGTTCAGTTATTTGCTTGATCCCTTGCCTCCATTTCCATCTGTGACTTGGGCTTAGCACAGTGCCTGCTGCACCAAGGACTTTTCAATAGTGGTTCATTATAAATACTACTGGACACTTCCAACTGGCTTAGGCTGTGAACCCACAAGAGGAATCAAGAAAGAATAACCCTGGCAATAGCTGAAATGTCCTACTTTCTTGGTTTTCAAGCCCATGATTCCTAAAGTTCCTAGCTTCTTAAAGGATATGCCAGGACCCTTGTCCTAGCACTGATTCTTCCCCAATCCCAACTACTCACTTACAGCTTTCAGCTACAGAGATGAGGAAATATGTTCACAGTCAGATAGATTGACATCTTTTTCACTAAGCTTAGGCATGAAGGAAATAACACTATTGAAAGTAACTGCCTGCTCAGAAGCCAGTGTTGAGAAGGCACAGACATTATGGTGGAGGTTGGTCGGTCACAGAATAAGACATGGGTTCTCATTACAAGAATAAGCTCTGGGAGGAGAGAGAAAGACAGACCCTCTGCTGGGAATGAAAGAGTGCTGCTTTCTCCCATGCTAATCAATGCACTGCCTATAGAAGGTGGCGTGTGTTCAAAAATAGACTATTGGGCTGGCCAGGTAACTCAACAGATTAAAGCTCCTGCTTAGGCAGACGCAGAGGTTGGGGGTTCGATCCCCAGCCTGCCATGCCGGCCCTGCCCCCAGGGCATGCTGAGGCAATGATTGAGACTGGGTATGTTGGTGCATGCCTGTAATCCCAGTGCTAGGGAGGCTGAAAACAAGAGGATCACCATGAGTCCGATCTGTGTAGTGAGATTGTGTAGACCCTTAAAAACTAATAAAGGTATACTATAACCAAGAGCTACCTTGTAGCTTCTTGTGTGTTCATGCCGAGAGTGACTTTTGCAGGCTACATAATTATTCTGTCCTCTCTTTTCTCCATTCCAGCTGCAGGAGGGCTTTGGCTGGGAGCCATTCATCCAGCTTTTCGGCGAATACCAGAAGCTCTCTGGCATCCCAGGAAACAACGCGGCCAAGATGAATCTGTGGGTGACCAAGTTCTCTCAAACCGTGAAGAAGAATTTGGCTCCTTTCTTTCAGGCCTGGGGTTGGCTGGTGACAAAGGAGGTATGTGACAGCCAGGCCTCCCCGCCAGAATGGGAGGAAGATCCAATGAAAGCGTACAAATCTGCTCAATCTGATCCTGTGAAATTATGTACGTCTGACCCTACGCAGTTATATGTATGTGAAGAGGAAATGTGTAAAATTATAGAAGAATCCTTTCTGGAGCAAGATCGATCCTTGGTTCCAACAGAGTAATCAGCACTTAAATTTCAACTTTAATGTTTTCTTCCTCAATCTGATCCCAAATTGTCTTAGGTCCTTTGCAAGGCAAATATTAAGTTAAAGAGTCAATATCAAAATTAGTCACATGTATAATTTCATCAAGTTTTGATAGATCCATTCTTCAAACTTTAGTGATTTGTTTCTTGATTTCTTTGTTTAGTATTTGCATTTTTGCTAATGGCTAATGGGAATAGTGCCAATCCAGGGAATCAGTTCCAGAAATTATTTCTGGAACCATTTAGAGTGAGTTCCTCATAATCCTGAAATTATTTCATATACTTCATAAATATTCTTTCTCAGTTGTTTTAAGAGGCTAGAAAGTCATTCATAAATACTTCCTGATAATCAGCACTTACCTGTCAGCACCCTGGTGCTTTGTGCATTTCGGCTCAGTTTTGCACATACTCTGTCAACGACAAGGGTTCTCTAGATACATTTTAATTTACTTACTTCACTTTACTTTATTTTTTGGTACTGAGAATTGAACCCAGGACCTTGAACTTGCCTGGCAGGCACTTGTGCTGCTGAGCTATATCTCTGGCCTTCTAGACACCTTTTGATCAGTCCATTTCCTGCAGGGAATCAACATTCTCTGTTGTTTGTTAACTAAGATCTTCAGTGATACACTCAGATAGCCTCACAGTGGACCATCACAAAGCCTGTCTGTTTCTTGCTTCATAAATTTCTTGCCAAATCTTGATATCTGTATGGGCTCAAGTCGTACTAAGTTTCTCCTTTGTGTTAGATCCAGTGGGACATAAAGGTCTGAAACTTGGCCAATTCCAATTGATTTTAGAATTTAACAGAAGAAAGAGAAAAGGATGGGTAGGAGAATGTTCCCAACCAGTCTATATATCTGAAAAATAAAGTATGTCCTCTTCATCTTAGTGTGCCCTTCCTTTAATACTAACCAATGCATTGCTTATAGAAAATGCTCTATGTATGTGTCAGATAAACAGACCCAGAAAGGTAAAGAAAATAGTTTGGAACAGTGGAGAGAGATAGAGAGAGAAAGAGAGAAAGAGAGAGAGAGAGAAAGAGAGAAAGCGAGAGAGCGAGCTGAATTTACTACCAAGAAATAAAACCTTATTCTTTCCTCTATGACTTTGACAGAATATCTAAATATTATATTCTTATTTGTGAAAGGCAAAAACTAAATAGCTCTAAGTAACTTTCAGGTCAGAAATAATACGATTTAAAGAAGAGATAAGCAGCATAGGTTTAAACACTTGCATTCAGAACTCAGCTGTACTGTTTCAAAGCAAGCACTCTTTAGAGAGCATAGCGGGGCTACAGTGTACCTGATGTCTTTTGACACAATGCAGCAGAATAAGTGTGGATTTTACTAACTGGTAAAGTGGACATTTTTTTTTGTTGGCACCTTCAGGCAGCATTCTGGTTTGCAGTGCCTATTGTGAGAGTGATCTTGGAGAGGCATGACACAACAAGTTGTAAATCTTCAGGAAGATACCTAGAAGAAAAATACTTGGACCAAATGGAATTTCTGTGTTCAGTATCTTTAGGACGCTTAATATTGATTTCCACAGTAGTTGTGTCAGTTTGCACTCCCAATGAAAAAAGGGAGTTCTTTATTCCTGTATCCTCACTAGCACTTGTTACTGGTTGATTTCTTTATGATAGCCATTCTTTCTGGAGTGATCATTTATACCTTCTCATCTGAGAAACACCTATTCATTTCAGATGACCAATTTTTGATTGGTTCTTTAAACTTGGGGTAGTTAATATTTTTTTTAGTTCTTTCTGTAGTCTAAATATCAGTCCTTTGTCTGAGGGTTAGCCAGCAAAACAACTTTCTGTTGTGTAGGGTGTCTCCGTTGGTGGCTTCCTTTACTATACTGAAGCTTTTTAACTCCATGTGATCCAACTTGTTAAGTCTTGGTATTATTTCTTATTTGACCAAGTTTCTGTTCAGAAAGGCCTCACCTATACCTATGTATGTGAGTGTTTTACCTATTTTGTTGTCAAGCAGATAGTGTCTCTGCTTCAATATTCAGATTTTTGATCCAATTTGGTTTGAGTTTAGTACATATTGATAAGGATGAGTCTACAGTTAATCTTCAGCATGTAGGTAGCCCATTTTCCCATCACCATTTGTAAAGAGGCTGTCTTTCCTCCAGTGAAAGAAGTTGACCTCCCCACCCCCGTCAAAGGTAAGGTAGCAGAGCATGCTTGGTTTGGTTCTCTATCCTCTGTTCCATTCCATTGGCCACAAAGGTTTTTTTGTTTAGCCTCATTTTTTTTGTCATTGTTGGTTGTTTTGTGTGGGGTTTTGGACAGTGCTATTTGTTTGTCTAATCACTGCGGCTTTGTAGTGTGAGCCTCAAGTCCAGAGTTTTGATGCATCCTGCCTTGCTTGCTATTGTTGCCCAGAACTCCTTTTGCTATTCTAGGTCTCTGCTGGTTCCATATGAATTTTAGCATGGATTTCTTTAGTTTTATGAAAAATGTTCTTGGGATTTGACTGGAATTGCATTAAATCAATGTAAGGCTTTTGGAAGTATGGCCATTTTGACCGTATTTGATCTACCTGTCCAGGAACAGTGGATGTCTTGTAATTGTCTGATGTCCTCTTCTACATCCTTTCTCAGAGTACTGTGGTCGCTCTTCGTTGGTTGTGAGGTACAGTTCTTTGTCAAGAGCAACACTGTAATAAAAAATCATGACAGTGATTGAGGCATTCTCTAAGTCTATGGATGGTAGTTTTGGCAGAAGTATTACGTGCAGGGAAGGAAAATCTGTACCCAGAAGAAGTGTTGATTCCAGTAAGGATGAAGCACTACCATGGACAGAGTGAAGCAACATCAGCCGTCTGCTCACCACACGGAACGGTGCATCACCGCTGGGAACGGAGTGGTGGTCTCTGTTGCTACCCAGCTGGGTACTTGGCAGCAAATGGAGCCAAGTCAGTCCCGGCAAATCAAAGTCCGTGTTGCCAAGTGCAAGCGTCACCTTCTTCCTTGCACCATGACCATTCTATCCACGAGCTCATCGGGCAACAACAGGGTGGCTGAGGACAGGGTTGACTGCATTCCACAGAACAGAGGACAGAATAGTAGTTTAGAGGGACTCAGAAGGGAAAAGAAAGAAGATGGTCAATGGGTATGAAAACACAATTGGACTAGACAAATAGCTACTAAGAATAAATATGTTTGAAAACAATTAACTGAATATCTCAAAATAGCTGCTACAGAGGATTTTGACTATCCCCAACACATGGAAATGATACAGGGCTGAGGTGACATATATGACAATTACTGCTTTCTGATCATTATGCCTTGCACAAATAGCATACTCCACAAATATCTACAGTTACTATCTATGGATTCAATAGAAAGGCTACATTTTTAAAATTTGTAGTTGCATATCATTACAGTTTCCGAGTCTCAAAGGTAAATATTAGACCATATAATCAGTTACATATGATTCACATAGATTTCTGTACCTGTCTATTGTTTGTTAAGAAATTTTGTTTTGATTTTGTAAGAGATTATATAGAATGACCTTTGAATTTAATAAAAATTATTTGCTTCACTACCAAAGTGGGTATATTTTTTTCTTTCTTCATCTGTTACCATTGATGGAAGCATTAATTTTCTAACAGTAAACCAATATTGAATCACGGTACTAACCCAGCTGTCACGTGCACTTCGATTCTTATATCTTACCTCAGTGCTAGATGGCCCTGTAATTTTCCTTTTTCTTAGGTCTTTGCCACTTTTTAATATCAACATTAAATTTTTTATCATAAAATAAGTTATCAAACGTTCCTTCCTTTGCTTCATCTGGAAATGTTTTATAAGATCAAAATTATTTATTCCTTGATATTTGAAGAAAAAACAAAACTCACCAGAGGTTATGGCTGGAATTTTCTTCATAATAGATTTTATCATAATTTACTGTATGTCTTTAATAATTATAGAATTGGTAGCCAATGACTCACTCTAAATTTAGCGTTTGAAAGATACTTTCTCGTCAACCTATCTATTTCTGTCTAAATTTTTAAGGGCAGAGCCAGGGATCTAGCTCAGTGGCACAATTCCCACTCTGGCCAGTGCAAGGTCCTGAGTTTGAGTCCTGATACCAAAAATAAATAAATAAGTAAATAATAAAATTTCAAGAGCAGTGGGCTGGAGTTGTTCGCAACAACTTGTGTTATTATTTCTTCACGGCATCTCCTGCTGTTTTGCTCGCTTTTCAAAGCTCATTTTACTTTTGCTTCTCTCCTCTTCTTATTTTGATCAGCTTCATCAGAAACATTTCAAATGACTCATTTTGACTGTGGTTACTTTCCTTCCTTTGTCTTCAATTAACGTCTCCTCTCAGTTTTATGGTTTCCTTTTGTCAGCTCTCTGGGGTGGTGTTAGGATACTTCCATTTAAAAAAAAAAAACTTATGATGAAGTTTAGATCAGTTTATTCTCTTTTATTCTCTAACATTGCCTTACCCATGACCCATTTAAAACTTCCCATCACTCTTATACTTGCTTGCTCAATCTTCTCTTACTGGCTCGGATTACCCATTTCACGGGGACATTGTTAATCTCTCTATTTCTGAGCTGGGACTCCAATTCCCAGAATATTACCAGGCACATGGAAAGACTTCCACGAGTGTTTGTGATGTGAATTAAATTATACAACACTGGCAAAGGACCATTAACTCTTGCTCCTACTGGCTATGCCATAGGGGCCCATGACGCTTGCTGAAATTCAAAGAAATCTTGACACAACTCTACCAGGAAGTTGCTCTTATGACTTCATGTTTTTCATTCTTTTTTTCTACCCAATAAGTGACATGAGTTGGGGTCATGTTGGTGACTGGGTTGGATGACAGGAGACTTTTCATGTGTTCAGCAATATTTTGAGGAAGCCAATGACGGAGACTTTCAAGGGAAATTGTCAGCTTTTAATTTCCTTAAGCTCTGACGTCTTATGGTTTCTCCCTTCACTTCTTCT